TTCACATTATCATAATGCCTACTATCAGAGCAATCCTTAAAAATACTAACCAATGATTATATGCTAAATAAATATATAATATTTATATAATATAATTTTTATTTATTCATCTTTTTTATTTTTAATATGAAACTTTGTTTGTCATATTAATATTTAATCCAAAATATATAACTTTGTATATATTTAATCCAGTTTGAGTTAAATGAAGGAGGCGCCTGGATCTCCTCTGAGGTCAAAGATGGAGGCTGGAGGTCATCCTGCTGGAGTGACAGCAGAGCCAGAGGTGGTGTCTGACAGCAGGATTAGAAAAGTAGCTGATGCAGTCAGGAAGGGATGTTCTATCAGATGAGCATACCCTGTCAGTTTATCTCTTTATTTTATCTCTTTATTTTATCTCTTTAGTTTTGAATGAAAAATAGACTTTAAACTACCTCAATGGGATGTATCCCTTTAGTCGTGTACAAAAAACTATTTAATTAATTAATTTTTGGAGTTTTTTTTAAGTGAATCTGAAGGCGATCTGACCTTTAATAGTATTTTTGTAAATGACTAAAGGGAAATGGACCAGACTAACAGAAAAATGGCTACAGAGGTCCTAGTTGGGATCCTCTGTTTTAATGGGGGAGGTGTTACGGCTGCAGTGGGTTTCTCCCCTTATACAGTTATAATCTTCAGATATAATCTTCATTCTGTACGTGGCAAAGATTTGGAAATGGACTGAGAGCGGCGTCCTTCAGCTGAGAACAAAGTGTAATATATTGATAAGGCTGGAGCCATGGATGCCTCCTCATCTGCTAACATGAATGATTACATGATGTGATGATGTGTCAGACTGGAGATCTATAAAATGCTTCTTTAACTGTTAATCAGGGTCACTTCCTGAGATGTGAGCAGCTGCCTTCTGTAACTCTAAGCAACTTCTCTGATCGGAGTAAGATTATAATTTATATCAAAATCTGTTGTCACGTCTCTTGGTTATTTAATACATATAAGTTATGAAATGTTATTTAAAGAGTTTGTTCTGAGTGATTTCATTTTAGGAAAAGAACCGGAGAGTCTTTAACATAATGTTTACTTAATTGAACTTAAGCACTATTTTTGTACTATTCGATCCTCCACTCACAAAAAGGAAAATAAACCTTATCAATCTGTTCCCAACTCAAAATTCTGGACAACTTTATGTTGTTAAAGATATGCTGAGTAGAATATAAATATATATCTTAGACTCTTCAGAATAAAAGCTGAAATCAAACACATCCATGGAGCTGCTTGGTGAATCCTTTGGTTGCTGCCAAAGCAGGAAGTGATGCTAATAGCAGCTCTGCTAACAGGATTGTTATAATGAGGTGATTGAAGCACCGCTAGCTGCATTAGCTAACCTGCTAAGGTTTAATGCTTGCTAACCAAACCCCACTGCTGCATCACAGCAACATAGAATAGATCAGCAACCATTGCTGCCATGCTGATCATAAACCACAACCTTGCTGCAGAAAATGGCTGCATGATATAAACAGAGAATAAAATGTGGAGTTAACTGCATCCCTGCAAGACCCTGAAAAGAAGCTGGAGTGAAGGGGGTCAGAGGAGNCTGCGTGAAACAACTTTGTGTTATGATTTTAACATTTTGCATAGAGATTTAACCTTTTTTTTACTTTTATGAAGCTCAGATTAATAATTTGACTTACACTTCATACAGATGAAGGAGTCTATTGTTTTGACTGATTTGAACTTTTCTTCTTCCAGGGAAACAAAAAGGGTAACTGATAATGATAAGAGCTCAAATTAAAATTTTCAGCAAATAGATATTTTACCATAAAAATATCATCATGGGGAAAAACGGTAAATATTTTTGCCAACTAAGGTTTGATTCCAGGGCTCTATTTATTGGCAACATATTTTAGCTATCATAATCTTTTCCATGATTTTTCCATCTATTATGATCATTTAAGATTGTCCACCGACTTAATGCAGTTGTGCATTTTTGCTATATATATATTTTTTATCATTTTTATTTTAGTTTCTTATTTTTTTAGCTTTCTTTACGTATATTCACAATCTTATTTTTTTTTTCTTAGTTTTTTTTATATTCATAAATTTTCCTTTTTTAATATCGATTACACAAGGATAATATCCTTTTAAAATCGAAAGTGTTGACTGTTGTCGGAAAATTTTTATTTCTCTTCTATTATATATTAATTTATCCTATTTACTCACTATAAAGGTTTTCTCTCAGTCTATTTCTCTCTCAAGGCCACACAATTTTCTGCGGGATGATGTTTGTAGATAAATAATAAATAAATGAATAATAATAAATTATGAAAGTGTCTGTAATTTTTTTAGACTTTGACTGCTTTTCCATTGTTTTAAGTAAGGAGGAATAAACGCTGTCCGATTCAGAACAGGCCTTATTACCGTGCCATAAGAACCTTATCTTTGCAAAGAACTGTTCTCTCTTTGCAAAGATATGAATAAATGTGCCAACTGAGTGAAATCCATCGATCTCCGTTCATTTAACTAGGATGAATAGTTGAATACTTTTTTCCCACGACAACGGTTACATAATTTTTTTCCGGTGTAATAGAAAGTTATAGTCAATTATATTTAATGACACAAATATCTGCTTAGAAATAACTACATATTTATCTCTGCAGATCAGAATATTGAGAATTGGTTTAGTATTCATTTTAATTTTAGAAAGTGAAATAGATATATAGATTTATCACTCAAAGAGTCTGAGCTGGATGAAGCGAAGGCATCATTAAAGAACATGTGGGATGAGATCAGTAAAGCTGTGACCAAACAACAAAGCCTCCTGAGCCTCATGGAGGAAATATGGAAGTTAATAGAAATGGTGACTTTGAAAGAGAAAATGATTGAGGAATTAGAACCAAGGATGGACTTTGGAACAATAAAAGCAGAATAAAGATCTCATCATTACTGGATTAGATAGTAAACATCGTAGCTATGCAAGAGTAATAGCTGGTAAAGATGAAGGTGAGGAAGCTGAGGAGCTGCACACCCTTGAACAACAGCTGGATCAGGATTTTAGCAGTAAAAACATCTTGAAATAAAAAGAATCTCCAGCTGCAAAATAAAGGCAGTGATTGTGGTTCAGCTGATTTCACAGAAACAAGAGATTGAGCTCCTGGGCCAGACCAGAAAATGAAAGGTACAGGAGTTTATATCAATGAACATTTGACAGAGAAAAATGCTGAAATTCCAAGATGGAGTCACAGACTGAGAAAGCAGAACTAAATTCAGGCTCCATGGACCAGGAATGAAATATTCATCTAAATGGAAAAGAATTTAGCGGCCAATAATTGTTAAAACTCTGAAAGAACTGGACAGCTACCAATGATGGAGCATTTCAGGAGGTAACTTCTCTGATTTTTTTTACTAGCAGGTCTGGACAAGTTTGGAGAATGATGTGTCATCTGGAATATGGCTGATTTGGACACTTTCCTCACATGGAAAACAACTAAAATACCAGTTTTTGACGAGATCGTAACTATCTATGTGACTTTGGACATGATATTTATCCTGATATTCAGTTCTATAGTAATATGGATGGAAATTGTTAAATATTACTCTGATTAAGAATTTAGCACAGATGTAGAACTGCAAGCTGCTCTGTTTACAGTTTAATAGTAGAAGTCTATACATAAATGATTTAGAAATTAAAGAATTTCTAAAATACGTTTAAAAATTCACCGTTTCAGAAAATTGGCTTGATGATGGAAAAGCAGATGAAGATCTTGAAGGTTGTGAGTTTTATACAGAAGGAAAGGTGGTGGAGGTGTTTTTATATCGATTAATCACTTCAAAATAAAAACATAAATGATGCCTCTTACAGCATAGACATTGTATTAGAGTGTAACTGTAGAAATTGAAATAGAATATTATAGAAATGTAATTATTAGTTGTGTGAATCGACCACCTGGAAGAAGTTTGTCCTTATTTAACGAATCAATTTCAGACATAAAACAATAATAAAGTTCAGATTATCTGTGGAGATTTCATCATAGACATAATGAATGAACAAAGGATTTTTTTAATGCAATGCAGAGAAATAATTCATGCTCCATAATCGATAAGTTGATAGATTATATTGGTTTTTCATAAACCAGGGGACGAATATAAAAGATACAAAAACTATTACAAAAAAGTATTATTAAAAGTAAAGAAAATTATTTTCCAAATTTATTAGAACAAGAAAAACAAAATATACAAAAACCTGGAAAGTGCTAAACAGTAAAATCAACAAGAAAAATAATAAGCTAGAATAAACAAGCTGCTTTAGAAAGTAAAATGAAATAATAAATCCAAATGATGTAACAGCTTTTATAAATGTGGGTCACCAGCTGGCAAAAAATAAAAACTTAGTGACTTCTGACAAAATCAGCAGAAACTCAGCATCCATGTTTGGATCAGAAACTAAAATGAAATACTGGAAATAATAAGTGGTTTCCAAAATAAAAGGTTTGCTGATGGGAAAATATTAATATGAACTTTGTTAAAAACAAGATTAATTTCATCGTAAAACCAATTAACTGTTTTAAAACGATAACTCAAATTAGGTTTATTTCTGTATCAAAAAGAATTTTTTTTTATTATTATTATTCACATAGATCATCATCAATATTCTAACTACAGACTAATTTTATTTCTCTCAGTTCTCAAAAAAGCTAGAAAAACTTTTTGTTAAAATATTTAATAGTTTGACTGAAAAATATAAAATATTGAAGGAAGAACAATCTAGATTTACTAGACTTACTTTTGGAAACGTGCAAATGTTTTGATTCTTGCATGTTTGTAACCAAAATAAAGGTTTTAATTCCTAGATCTACCTCTCATCTTTAGTTGATGCTTATTTGCTGCAACAATAACAGAAAGAATCGTTATTCTCAGCTCCTTCCTGACAGACTGATCCCAGAAAGAGAAAAAGACGTCATGAAAAACATCTGAAGCAGGCTGGACCTTTTCTCTGAGGAAGAACCAACTTTGGGTTTCTTCCCAGCTCTACAGCTCCTTTCAGGACGGCTTCCTGGGGTCTAAGAGGACACAGAACTTTATAGTTAGATCCAAACTGATCAGAGATGTTCTGACGTAGAATCTGGCTCTCAGCTAAGCCCCCCACTAACACAATACAACCAATGTTGGAATATTTGGCTAATATTTCCCTGATCTTATTGGTGATGGTCTTCAGACTCCGATCATAGAAAGACCTCAGTGTGTCTCTGGAGATCCTGATGCGTCCATCATCCCAGGAAGCTCCTCCCTCTGAATCAAAGAACCTTTCAATGTTTTTCTCTTTCTCAGCCTGTTCTCTCAGGTTCTCTGGGCAGCAGATCTGAACATCTTCATCCACATGTTTGACACGGAGAAAATCATCCATCATTTCCTGAACCTCATTGGGGAAGTTTGCTTCATATTCTTTCCACAATTTATCAGAGAATATTTTACTGATGAACTTTTTGAATTTATCGTCCACATCTCGTCCCCCCCAATAATATCCATCATCATCATACAGCTTCTTCAGAGCTCCTCCTTCCAGAACTTCATAAACACTGAATTTAGATGATTCTTTGAACAAACAGGAAGAGAATGAAAGAGAATAAAGAAAAAATGTGAGAAAACATCTTATTGTTCATTAAGCTCACATTCAGCAAACATTCATCTCAAAGTTTCCATCAACAAACATTTCTTGCTTCTCTTGATGTTTGAACACAAAGATTTTTCAAACTCGTCTCTCAATAAACATTGAAGAACCGTGATGAACAGTTACCTCCACAGTCCACAACAAGGTACCGTCCTCCTCCTCTGGGTCGGGTCTCCAGCAGGACTGTGGTTTCTTCTGGTTCTGATCCAAGGTGAACTGCTACCTGACCTCCTGGT